ATCCATGAAAATTAAACCTGATTAACTGAAGAATGGTGTTTTTTAAAATTCTATTTAAAAGACGTTTATTTAACTTTTTTTTTTTTTTTTTTTTAAACCACAAGTGTCTACAACAAACAGTTGAAAGAAAAAACTGAGCAGAATGCCTTCAACTAAGGGCCAAGAATGCTAATAACCCTAAGCAGAAAAATGCCTTTAAAAAAACCACTTTTGTCTGTTTATATATCAGAAAGAAACAAGTGTACAACCCCAAATTCTCTTTTGCGGGTCATCTTCAATATCAGACCAAATGTAAAATTGTGGGTATAAACAAGTTCAGACTGGAGATTTTAGGATCTCAGAATTTGCTGAACGGAGCAAAGATTTCCAACTTCTTGTTAAAAAACAAAACAAACCACCTCTCTTCTGCAACAGTCTCTGAACTATGTATACGATTCTCAGCTGCCTGGTTTATTCAGATGTGCAGAAAGCCATCTACCTCTAAGCATTAGATGGTAGCATGAACTCACTCTATTCCTTAAAGCAAACAATCTCAAAAGGATCAGGACTATTCAAGTTAGTGAAAAGAATAATCTGTAATACAATTTTATAAAATAATATATGGCACAGGAAAGATTGATTGAGTGCATCTATAGTGGGAAAACCAACGCCAAGATTTAAAGCAGTGGGTACCTGAAGTTAAGTTTCAGAGCAGCAGCCGTGTTAGTCTGTATCCGCAAAAAGAACAGGAGTACTTGTGGAACCTTAGAGACTAACAAATTTATTAGAGCATAAGCTTTCGTGGACTACAGCCCACAAGTAGCCTGATTTTCAATAATGCTAAGCACCTAACAGCGCCCATTAACTTCAATGGGAGCTGCTAAGTACTCAGCACCTTTTAAAGTCAGCAAGTGACTAAAAATGGATTTTTTTTTAAAAAAAGCCTATACTTTTAAGCTGCTGTTACTAAAAGTTTTGACATAAGAACAGCCATACTGGGTCACACCAAAGGTCCATCTATCCCAGTATCCTGTCTTCTGACAGTGGCCAATGCCAGATGCCCCAGAGGGAATGAACATAACAGGTAATCATCAAGTGATCCATCCCCTGTTGCCCATTCCCAGATTCTGACTTTTGGCCTAAGGGAAAGCTGAGAAAACTAAAGTTTAAGAGACTGCATATATAACCCACAGAGTTAATTGTAATGAGATGTCATAGTAAAGAACTTAAAAAGCAAGATTACATTCTAATATTCATTCTAATATCCAATACTAGATAGGAGGACAATTCATAATGGATATTAATGCTCACAGTGCATGACAGACTATCAGTTTTCCCCATAGGCCTGTTATTGCCAAACTGACCATTGTGCTGTATTATTTTTAGGTCCAGAAGGATTACATTTTTTAATCCATAAGTGTTAATTTCACTGTACACACACAAACTGATGGGAAAAAAATACTTCTACCAATAATTGAAATTTATAAATAGGCAAAGAAAGAAAAATGCAGCTTGAGAACTTACTGAAGTTTTATTTAAGGCTATTTACTTTGTATATTTTGACATATGTTGACAATTTGTGTTTTAAAGGTCATAAAGTTTTAACGTTGAGTCTCAATGTCAACTGTTATTAAATATTAGGGTACTTTTATACCACCCACATTACAGCATGGCCGCGGCAGCGTTGTGACATGGGCAGTGTCGACACGCTTTATCACCGGGGGAAGAGCTCTCCTGGCGATTTAAAAACACCCCGAATGAGAAGTGGTAGCTTTATTGTCTATACTGGTGCTTTTCAATGCTAAAAAACTTTTGTCGCTCAGGAGTGTGTTTTTTCACACCCCTGAGCGGCAAAAAGTTTTAGCGCTAAAGTGGCAGCATAGACACCACCTTAGAGAGACACGGTAGGTGAGGTAACAGATCTCGTCCTTCGATCTAGAAAAGGTACACAGCATCTCAGCTAAATACAAGGTGGAACAGATTGTTTAGCATTACTAGTTAATGCACATTTCAAGGGAACATTTAAGGGGAAGTGGCCCTTTAACACCCCTCCAGTCATATGGAGGAAAAGGATGGGGGGGAGGAAGCTAGCTCGGGCATGAGGGGATGGTTGGGTTGTTAGTGGTTTATAGCTTGTTGTAATAAGCCATAAACCCAATGTCTTTATCCAACAGAGAAGATTGCATCATAGAACAGACCACCCAAATACACAGAGAAAACTTGCTTAATAAGAAATAAAAACCCCTCCAACCCCTAGTTGTCACTGAACACCCCACACTACAACCCAAATAGCTACAACCCATCCTCAATGGGGACCCCATCCTGAAAGTAATCTTTCCTGAACCACCTCTTCTGGCCTTCAAACAACACCTTAGCCTCTCCAAGCTCATCATCAGAAGCAAGCTCCCTGCAGACCAGGACACACAAACTCCAAGCCGCATCAGACCCTGCCAGAACAGATGCAAAACCTGCAGACATCTCCACTGCTACAATGATCAACACCTCCCACAACACACATTTCCAAGATTCATGGGTCCTACATATGCGTTTCACATATGGTGTGCCTCATCCAGTGCACTAAATGCCCCGATAACAGTGGGGTCAGGCCAGGCAGTCACTACTTGCTTTCTATGAACTCACAGGAAAATGATGATTAAAGAGGTGTTAACAGGCCACCCGGATGACTAGAGGGGTGTTAACAGGCCACTTCACCTCAGATGGTCCCTTAAATATGCGTCAGCTAGTTATGCTAAACAATCTGTTCAGTCTTTTACTTAGCTGTGACACTGAGTATGTTTCCCTGAAGAAAGAGAGAGATCTGTGTAAGCTCGGAAGCTTGTCTCTCTCACCAACAGAAGTTGGTCCAATAAAAGTTATTACCTCACCCCGCTTGTCTCTCATATCCTGGGACCAACACAGCTACAACACCACCGTGTACAACGATGAAAGTTATTAAATATTGTCTGACCCTTAGTATTTTCTGCAACTATGAAAATAAATTGATAAAAATTAAAAAATGCTTAAAAATAAACATAAAAAATAAGTTTCTGCCAACCCTAGTTATGTTCTTAAAAAACACCACACACACCCCTGCCCACTGAAGCATCTGCAACTGCCCAGCAGAAGAGATAGACCATTGGTCAACAGACAACTACTACATTCTCAATTTTACTGCCTTCATGAGCACTTTCAATGGCAACTTTAAACTCAGTTTCTTCCTTTCACAACAAGGAAGAGAGGTGGAGGGGAAGTTAAATGTGAAGAATTATGACCCCAATCCTGCAAAGACATATGTACCCACTTATAGGGGACTGCTCATAGTGTGGGATTACTTG